CTGTGGCTCAAGTGGTAGAGTGCTAGCCTTGAGCTGAAGAGCTGAGGGACAGCGCCCAGGCCCAGAGTTCAGGCCCCACGACCGGACCCAAAAAAAAAAAGTCTCACAGATTTTCCTGCTCAGGTGGCTTCAAACCACAATCATCAGATCTTAGCCTCCTGAGTGTTTTTACACTCTCATTCAGCAACGGAGGAGAGTTCTAGTGTTCACATTCTTAAAGGTATTTTTTGTTGTCAGTGTTCTAGATTTCAGCTATTCTAGTAGATGTGTGGTTGTGTCTCATTGTTGTTCTAATTTGAATTTTCCTAATGACATATGAAATGTATCAGTTTTCATGTACTATTTGCCGTCTGTATATAGTGTCACACACACACAGACACAGACACACACACACAGACACACACACACAGACACACAATCTTGAATGTAGTTTTACCAGGAGGCCTGCCAACAGTAGACTGTGGAAGAGCCCCTGCTTTGATGGGTTTCAGCATCTGAGCCATACCCCACATGTCTGCACATTCCTGCTGTCCATTCCAAACCTGGAAGCTCTAAGCTTTGTAGTACAGGTGTTGGCTATGGTATTGATTTGGAAACTGATCTAAGTCTTGTTGAAAATATTTGTTTCTCACTGTTGCTGGCAGAAGAGGGATATTGTCTAGACATGACCCTGATACCTTGTGGCTTTCTGGAGATTTCTTATTTTTTGTTCTGAGTAGGTAGCTTCTTCTTGACCTCCCTTTCCTTGTTTACCCTTCATCCCTTCAGAAGTTCTGACAGGAAGTTTCTAGAAGTCAATTGGTTGAGTACAGACTGGTTGGCTTCAAACTTTTTGTCTTCCCCTCCACATTGTTCTTTTGCAGTCACCCTACTCTGAGCGCTACATGGTGGTTGATTTTTCTCCACTGGACCGACTTTTGTAACTTCCAGAGTTACTTTCTTCAGCTTGAATTTGTGTGACTTCATAGATATCTCCTGGGTGTGATGGTTGGGGCTCTGGTGCAGAGAAGCATGCCCACCATCTCTCCTTCCTTCCATTCCCATTCAGTTGTGTCTTCCATTCTGCAGATTCTGGCTGTGACTCAGTTACCGACACTGAGCCTGAGGACGAGAAGGTCCTTCCCCACTCCAAGCAACTGAGCCTGCCATCGGAGACCACGCCAGGGAACCTGATGGTGGTGCAACCGGATCGGATTCGCTGTGGGGTAGGTATTCTGGAGGTGGAGGTGTCTGGTAGATCCACTGTCAGAACAGGGGCTTTGCAAATGGACACCTCTGTTTGAGTAAAGAAGGAAGTTCTTATATTGAACCTCACTGAAGTTATAGTCATCCCTTGGGGCTTCCTGTGTGGATTCTCATTACCTTGGCTTTGAACACACCTTTAAGCCAAAAGGAAATGAGCCAGGAGTATAGCACACCATCGATCTCAAACTTCTATTTCATTGGTTAATAACATAGAACATGAGAGAGGCCAGCACACATGAACATTACCAGATACTTACACCACCTTGCAGTAGAAGTAGAAGGAAGAAGTAAGGCGTGCTGGGAGCTTGCTTCTATGTTAGTTGATCACTAGCCTGGCCCGAGGGAGTGCTTTGAAGCTTGATGGCTGCAACTCACTGTCCAATATCTCTTGCTAAAAGCATGGATAAATGCCCCGTGACTAACACTTTTAGAGGGGGGCATATAATAGGTGACTTGAATGTCATGACCTAGTGAGCCACTGGCATTTGAATCCTGTCAGGTGAACACGTTTTCCATTTTCTTTCCTTTCCTGAGAAGAAATGTGTGGTGTTTCTGTTAGTCTGGAGAATTAAAATGCTTTCTTTGTTGATACAAGTCCTTTGCTAAACTTTACTGTAGGCTCCTGGTACATCTGACATGAGAGCCTGGGCCATGTGGAGTGTGGGAACTGGCACATGTGAGTGTTTTTCTGGAAGCTGAGGACACTAGACATGGGGCAAGGGCCTCCCATATGGGAGTTTCCAATTGCTTCTTTGGACTCCATTTGACTCATAGGCATGTTTAGCTTGGACTTAACAGTGTTTTAAGTATTAGACATCAAATCTGTCTTTCCAGCTTCCAGAATCTGAATCTGGTATTAGTAGGTCTGAGTCACTAGCTAGGGCTGAGTGCCCTTTGGTTGGTATACTCTTCCTCCAGTGTCTGGTCCCCATAATTCTCTGTTGTTTGTTTGTTTGCTTGTTTTTGTGGGTCATGGGGCTTGAACTCAGGACCTGGGCATTGTCCCTGAGTTTTTTCACATAAGGCTAGTGCTCTACCACTTTGCGTCACAGAGTCACTTCCAGTTTTCTGGTGGTTAATTGGAGATAAGAGTGTTATAGACTTTCCTGCCCAGGCTGGGAACTATGATCCTTGATCTATGGTCCTCAGATCTCAGCTCTTAAGTAGCTAGGATTACAGACATGAACCACAGAGGCAGCCTCTCTGTTCTTTATAATCGGCCCATTTCCCACTCTCCCCTCCTGGCTTGGCCTGGCCTGGCCTGACCTGTGTGGATATTTCACTTTCCCATGACTGAATCTTATCTTCCCCATCACCTTCTGCTGAGGTTACAGGGTGCCTGTGTTGGATGGTGTTTGAAACCAAAGCATACTGAGTCTAGCTGGTCTGGGCCATCCTCACTAGAGAGATCTCAGGTTTGGGGAGCTGAGGACACCAGAGCCTAGTAACCTAAGAATCCAGAAGGGAAAGAGACCATGACCTGTATCCTGTTCCAGGCCCAAACCACTGTGTACATCATTATGAGATGTAAGTTGGATGACAGGGTGTCGACGGAAGCCGAGTTCTGTCCTGAGGATTCTCCATCGGTCAGAGTGGAAGCCATACTAGAGAATGAGTACACAATTTCCGTGAAGGCTCCTGGTAAGCAACCCCATGGTAACAGGATAACCAGATGCTTAATTCCTTCTGAAATAGTGCTGAGCTATAACTTATCAATAAGCTATACCACCAGCAGCATGAGGCCTTGGCACTTTCATTTTGCCAATGTGGTTTAGTTTTGAGCCCATTATTTTAATTGTATTTCCTTGATTACGAGGAAGGTTAAGTGTTTTTCCATGTTCTCTACTTGTTGCATTTCCTCTTTTATGAATCGAATCTTTGTGGTTTTGTGTATTTTTAACTTATTTCTTTCCCCCTCAAAACCCCTTCCGGTGGTATAGACTTCACATGTAGTATTGACAGCAGCAGAGCGAGAGAGTCTGCTCACCCAATGAGGTAGAAACAGTGTCACCTCACAGGATCTCTCACCTTTGGCAGCCACTGGTCTTTATAGAAAGTTCCTTAAGTCACGTTTTCCTTGAAGTCCCTGGCCAACAGAAAAACAGATGCAAATCCCTCAAAACTTAAATTACAGACTGAGTGAGAAGAGCTGCTCTGCAATGTGTTGGCTTAGTCACCTTCTCCTTCCACCCTTCCCTCATCTCCCACCCCAGCTCATCTCCAAGGACTTTCTTCCACGACTTATTTTTTTCCTACCAGATGGATCATCTCTATCCAGGAAGCCTTGTCATTGGATCTTTGATCTTCCTGGGCATTTTATATAGTATCTTTTCTTCTGTTCAGACCTTTCATCTGGGAATGTTTGTCTGAAGATATATTCTGGTGACTTAGTGGTGTGTGAAACCATTATCAGCTATTACACTGACATGGAAGAAATTGGGAATTTATTGTCTAATGCTGCAAATCCCGTGGAGTTCATGTGTCAGGTAAAGATGCTGAATGGCGATCTGAGCTTTTAGGGGATGCATGTTTTGCCGTGGCTTTTCAGCCTTCAATCTGCCGGGCAGGAGACAACTAGATTTAAAACTATCTTCACCATTTTTTTCTTCCAAATTTAATTTAGGCCTTTAAAATTGTGCCATACAACACAGAAACTCTGGATAAACTGCTAACAGAATCCTTGAAAAACAACATCCCTGCAAGCGGACTGCACCTCTTTGGAATCAACCAGCTAGAAGAAGAAGATATGATGACAAGTAAGTCAACAATCAAATATCAAGACTAGCCAGCAGGGGGCAAATTGCAGCCTATGGTACCAGCATCCAGTCAAGTTCCTACTGCTGCTGCCTGCTCTACAGTCTATCCTGTGAGAAAGAGCTATGCTTTCTAGGGTAGCTAGAGATTCTTCTCTACAATTCTTGATTATAGCCATGCATTGCTTAACAATGTGGATGCCTTCTGAGAAATGCAGTTAGGCAATTCATCTTTGTGTGAGCCTCATACAGTGTGCTTATACAAACCCAGATGGTATAGCTTGCTGCATGGCTAGGCTATTAGGAACATAGGAAAGGTGAACAAAATGGCAGGAGATTAAATCGAGCACAAGAGAGCATGATGCAATGAGGAGTCACCGTGAACACAACAGAGACAAGTCTGCTGCCCATGTAACCCAGTGTACTATTTTACAGTACATTTTAAAAATGAGTAGCAGAACAGCCGGGCGCCGGTGGCTCACGCCTGTCATCCTAGCTACTCAGGAGGCCGAGATCTGAGGATTGCCGTTCAAAGCAGCCCAGGCAGGAAAGTCCATGAGAACTTATCTCCAATTAACCAACAGAAAACCAGAAGTAGCACTTTGGCTCAAAGTAGTAGAGCACTAGCCTTGAGCTGAAGAGCTCAGGGACAACACTCAGGCCCAGAGTTCAAGGACCATGACTGAAAAAAAAAAGAGAGAGAGAGAGTAGTAGAATAGTCTAAAATAATGATTTAAAAGCATAGGCTCAAAGCATGGGTCAAGTGGTAGAGCACCTGTATAGCAAGTGTAAAGCCCTGAGTTCAAATCCCAGTACCACCAAGAAAATAATTTTTGTAGTTTAATAAATCCATAAACCAGTAACTTTATCATTTGCTTTTTTTAAAATGCCAGTCCTGGGGCTTGAACTCAGGGCCTAGGTGCTGTCTCTTTGTTTTCTCAAAGCTAGCACCCTACCACTTGAACCACAGTTCCATTACCAGCTTTTTGGTAGATAACTGGAGATAAGAGTCTCACAGGCCTTTCTGCCCAGACTGACTTCAATCTATGATCCTCAGATCTCAGCCTCCTAAGTAGCTAGGATTTCAGGTATGGCCACCAGCACCCGCTTCATTTACTATCCTTTAGTATTATATGCTGCACAAGCTGTAATGCTATGCTTTTATAGGACCGGGAGCCAGGTGGGTTGTTCATACCAGCACCATCACAGCATCGCAGGAATGTGTCGTGCTGTGATATTACAATGACTATAGTGTCACTAGGGGTTGGGAAACTTTTAGCTTCATTTCAATCTTACAGGACTTCTAACAACAGAAGTTGTTATTAGGCAAACATGGATGAACCTCCACATAGGGCTTCCACTTTCCCATTTGTCTTCTAGATAGAGTTTAAACCCCTCAGCCTGAAATCAAGCCCTTTCCACCCCCCCCACTCCCCACCCTACCCCCATAGGTTGCCACCTTCACCTGTAGTTTAATAAATCCATAAACCAGTAACATTATCATTTACTTTTGTTTTTAATGCCAGTCCTGGGGCTTGGCTTCTCTGCACTGCAGCAGGTCTGAACTCTCACCTGTGTCTTGCTGCTCTACTCATAACAAAGCAGTTTCATTGTCCCTGTCTTGGTGGCCATTTACCTGACTACCTTCTTTTTACCTCCTTGTAGCAACTTAGGTAGCACTTTCCCAGTTCCACCACCTGCTCTGGCCTCCCTTGGCCTATTAGGGCCTCTGACTCCCAGAGCTGTGTGTCTTTTTTGCTATGTTGTCAGCACACTGAGGGGGTGGCTCTGTTCCCAAGGGGCTGGGTCCTTCTATGCTCTAAACAAATATTTGTCCCAGTTGGGAGCAGCAGGACCTTGTGTACATGGGGCATGGCCAGAATTGGGACAATCACACCACTTGCATGAAGACAGTGCTGGGTGCTCTGGACAGGATGCCTGTGGGCGTGTTCCTGTGGGCACCATTCCCCCGCTCACCACGGGACACTGCCTAATAGGACCTCTGCCTGCATTCCATCCATTCGAAGCCTTCTTTGGGCCTCTCTTTCTGGTTGCCTCTCCCCATGTAGTGTGCTTGCAATACTTCACATAGCTGCTTCTACTTTCCAATATTAAACTTGGGGTTCAGGGGAGAGCATTTCAATATATATCTATTTTCTTAACATACTTATTATGCAATTGAAAATACAAGCTGGAGGTGATAGGTTCTCTCTCTCTCTCTCTCTCTCTCTTTCTGTCTCTCAATCAGCAGAAAAATTTTAAAACATTCCAGGCTTTGCAGAGAAAAACAAAACATGACTCTTGCTGTACTTTGTGTGCTATGTAAACCCTTAGAAATCAGCACATTTTGGAGCTGAGGGGTATGGCTCAGTGGTAGCGTACTTGTATCTGGTAAGCTTAAGGCCCTGTTTTGATCCCATGCACATGTGTGTGAGTGCACATGTGTGTGAGTGCACATGTGTGTGTGCACGTGCACACACACACACACACACACCACCTTTTTTTTTTTTTTTGGGTCCGGTCGTGGGGCCTGAACTCTGGGCCTGGGCGCTGTCCCTCAGCTTTTCAGCTCAAGGCTAGCGCTCTACCACTTGAGCCACAGCACCACTTCCGGCTTTTTTTCTTTTTGCTTATGTGGTGCTGGGGAATCGAACCGAGGGCCTCATGCATGCAAGGCAAGCACTCTACCACTGAGCCACCTTCCCAGCCCCACACACCACCTTTTGAAAGACTACTATGTCTAAGGATTTTCCTAATCTGTTTAGAGACAGAAAGTAGGCTATCAGTTACTAGATCTGCTAATTAATTAAAATATGATTCCCTTTGTCATATGAGTAGATGATCCTCAGCAGTGCCTCACAGGAAGCTGTCAGATGTTAGGCCAACCAATAACTAATGACTGAGTGCCTACTGGATGCCTTGCTTAGGCCTGGTACCTTCATCTCTGTGAATAAAGGTGCCTTCATTCCTACCTGTCAATTAAATTCTCCTCTATACTTTTTCAGATCAGAGGGATGAAGAACTACCTACCTTGCTGCATTTTGCTGCAAAATATGGGCTGAAAAACCTCACTGCATTGTTGCTCACCTGCCCAGGAGCTCTTCAGGCATACAGCGTGGCCAATAAGCACGGCCACTACCCCAACACCCTAGCTGAGAAGCATGGCTTCAAGGACCTGCGGCAGTTCATCGATGAGTATGTGGTAAGGTCAAGGCAAGAGTGGTCTCCCCATTGGAGATGAACTGTGTGGTTCTAAGACTACCTTTCCATCAAAGATCTATAAGATTTAACCTCTAGGATGTCTTCATCTGCCTCTTCTGGCAACGGGCAGTGTATATGGAGGGCCCCGGAAATGGAGATGAGCCCTGAAGTCACGTAGTCTTGGGACCCAATTCTTGTATATACTTGGTAACCAGGTGACTTTGGGGAAAACACCTATTTTGCCTTGTTTCCTCAAATGTTGAAAGATCCTACTAGTTCTACTCAGAACTGTTTTGAGGATAAGATGAAGTAATGTATGTGAAACATTCAAGTTAAAGAATTGACCTCAACAAGAATTGACAAGGAGGGGCTAGGAAGGTGGCTCAGTGGTAGAGCGCTTGCCTTGAATGCCTGAGGCCCTGGGTTTGATTCCTCAGCACCACATAAACAAAAAAGAAAAAAGCCAGAAGTGGCGCTGTGGCTCAAGTGGTAGAGCGCTAGCCTTGAGCTGAAGAGCTGAGGGACAGGGCCCAGGCCCAGATTTCAGGCCCCACGACTGGACCCCCCCCAAAAAAAAAAAGAATTGACAAGGACATTCATATAATGAGTCAGTTGAAGGTTGATGCGCCCAACCCACTTCCCCATTCTCCGACTCTATCAACCTCCAAGGTCTTTGGTGGAATGTTTTTAGCTTCCTTGACCATCTCAGGTCCAGGTGAATGGTATTAGGATTGGTTCTTCCTTATAGGGACCACGATGAGGATTTGGCACTGAAGGAATATCAGGGAATTCAACCATAAGACCTGATAACCACTGACTAACCTCTCTTTTTGACCCTCTGCCTGGGTCTGACCTCAAGACAAGTAGACACACCCAGCTCATCTGTACTGCTTGTCTTTCCTAGACCATTGACTTCTGGGTTCTTCTCTGAGTCTGACCTCACCCCATGCCTATGAGTTGTTCCATGCCCTAGTATTGCCTCTGTACTCTTGGAAGCAGCCACTCCTTGCTGGTTTTCTTCTTCCTTTGTAGACACACAAAGGGAGCACAGCAGGAGTCATGCTTTGTTTTTCTCTACAAAGCCTGGAGCACTTTAAAATGTTTCTGCTGATTGAGAGAGAGAGAGAGAGAGAGAGAGAGAGAATATCTACCCTCTCCAGCTTGTATTTTCAATTACATAATAAGTATGCTATGAAAATAGATACATAGTGAAATGCTCCCCCCTGAACTCTAAGTTTAAGATTGGAAAGTAGAAGCAGTTATGTGAATGATAGCAAGATGATAGCAGTGTGACCTTTATGACTTCTGATGTCCTTCTCAGGTATCTAGAAACTGAAGAAACTTCTAGAAACTGAGAGGCACTTGGAAGAGCCTGCCAGAGGGTCAAGGTTTGCCCTGAAGGTGTTCCCTGGAGATTGCTAGCTACATATGTGCAGGAACATTTTCATGCAACCTTATCTACCCCACTGCATTTCAGTGCGGCTGCGCATGAAAGGCCACAGCCTTTGTATTATTTGTTCCTTTTTAAAGATGTGGGATGTAGTAAAAAGTTCAATGCCAAGATTATATATAAGCTTTGTGCTCAAGCCCTAAGGTTTTCTAAGCTTAGTTTTTCCCTTTCTCAAGCAGTGTGGAAAGGCTGGAGTGAGATAACTTGTGAGCCTATACTTAGCATTGAACTTGACTCCTAAGAAACACTCATGAGGCAGTAATTTTTAAATTCCTATCCTCCAGTCACTGAACTAATTTAGTCAGTATTTCTTGAATGCATAAGACACATATTAGGGAAAGATAGGAAGATTAAGAAAAATAATAATGAGGCAAGAGAAGAAAAAAGGCATAAGCCTGACCTGAAGGAGTTCTTAGTCAGATAGGGAGCGCAGCCATACACAAGCAACTGTGCCTGGCTTCCTATGTCTGGCAGGCCACTCCGGCCCTGACGCAGCCCACTCAGCTAGGTGCCACAGCATGCCATGGGCCTATCTTCTCTTGCAGGAGACTGTGGACATGTTGAAGAGCCACATTAAAGAGGAGCTGATGCAGGGGGAGGAGGACAACGCTGTGTATGAGTCCATGGCCCACCTGTCCACAGACCTGCTCATGAAATGCTCCCTCAACCCGGGCTGTGATGACGAGCTGTACGAGTCTATGGCAGCCTTTGCTCCAGCAGCCGCTGAAGACCTTTGTAAGTAACCCAGGCCACTTCTGCTTCCATTCTTCTGCTGGTTCATAAAAGGGAAGTACCTTTCATCCAGAAAGATAAAGATTCTGTGTCATATAGTGTCACATTTGTAGTCATCTGCTGTGGCAAGCAGAATCCTCCAAACTTCCTCTGCTGTGACGGCTAGGAGAGTCTGCCTGGAAGTCATGAGTCTGATGACATGGCCTCAAGATAGACAAATTCAAACAGGGCTCGAAGCCCCATCAGCCCCAGTGGGTCTGTTTTATGACCATTTATAAGGTCTCCTTTACTATCCATCAGGAGATCCATGTATAATACAGCCCACTCTTAAAAATCAAATACATTGACCTAGCCAAAATGCAGAAGAGACGTAAGGGGAGGAGACATGTTTGGCATACCTGCCCATGATGGCATATGAAATCAGTCTCAGCTGCTCACTGACACATCTATTTTCTTTTTGATGACTCAAATGCTGCAAGTAACACTGGCATCAACACTTAGGTTTTCCTTACTGTTAAACAATTCTCCACAATTTCGTAGTAACTGAATTCCTGAAAAATTCACTGTATGCAAAAATAAAATGTGTTAATATATGAAATGGTGTAAGTTCTAGGCTCAGAAAATTATAAGCAGGTTTTCTAGAAGAGAGGAAGCAGTCTGAATTCATTGAGCTAGTGTAGAGTAAATTTACTTCCAAAATAGGCATCACAGCATGATTTTCCTTATAAACTATTTAACAGATGTTGCCCATTTTTTGTTATCTTATTTTTCTATTTAAAAAATAGTATATGTTTGTAAAAACCTTAAATAAGGGTGGATAAAGAGAAAAATTTAAATTGGAATAGAATTGAGTGATACAAGTTTCTATGATTTTCAACCATTATAACATTGGTAATAGTTTGGTAGGTATATTTTTTTCTGTCTTGATCCTTATATCCACTGATATTAGATTAGAAGACACGTACACATCTATACAGAATTGTACAAATATGGGCACACATATCATGAGCAGTTTTTTTCCTAACATCTTCGTCTATCTAGAGGGTCATGGTGGATATATTTCTTTGTTGTAAAGGGCAGGGCTATCCCATACTTTGCCGGCTTATCTATTTGTCATTGTCTCTCCTGATAAATGTGTGATGATAATAATCAAAAACACTCTTGTAGCCAGGCACTGGTGGCTCACACCTGAAATCCTAGCTACTCAGGGGATTGAAATCTATGGTTCGCAGTTTGAAACCAGCCCAGGCAGGAAAGTCCGTGAGACTCATCTCTAATGAACTACTCAGAAAAGGCCGGAAGTAGCACTGTGACTCAAGTGGTAAAGCGGTAGCCTTGAGCAGAAGAAACTCAAAGACAGTGTCTAGGCTTTGAGTTCAAGCCCCAGGACAGTCCTCTCCCCCCCCAAAACAAACAAACCAAAAAAAAAAACATCAACAACAGGAAAAACACTCATAGATCTTCAGAACATCCTCTAGGGGCACTGTGCTACTCTTGAAAGTTGCTGTTTATTGTAAATGATGTTGGGTTTCAGTGTACATGCTGGTGGTGAGAACCACACAATGGGCTCTCTTACTAATGTTTACAGACATTCACTATCAGGTACTCAGCACTCCAAAGCTCTGCCACAAATTCACCCTCCTTCCCTCTGTGCCCAATTCATAGATTCTAGAAAGTCAAGACAAATATCCTCCAATGTCACTTCAAAACGGAAGGGCTTTCTGGAACGGCTACACTGAATACTGCTACCTTTTCAGGGCTAGTAGAGAAGTAAGCCTGTATGATGTGGGTGGTGGGTGTTAGGCATTTGCTAGTCTTGGAACATTCCTTTGGGATGAAGGGTGGGGTAAGCCCCTTTTAGCACCTAAGATGCAGACCAGAAGCATTAGTGGAAGCTCTTTCAGAATGAGCTATGGCCTGGCAGAGAGATGAGAAGCAAAGGCATTACCCCTACTATCCACAGCCTTTATCACATTGAATAATGAGATGCCTGCACTTTATGGAAGGGGAAATAGAGGCAACAGAGTGGTTAAACAATTTTCCCAAAGTCTCACAGACAGTAAATCTGACAGAGACTAGGTTTAGATTCATTTCTCTGTCTCTAGGATCATATTCTTTATCCCAGGCCAGAAGACTTCACCTAATATGGAGAATTTGGGTGCTGATTTTCTTTAGGAAACGCCTGTCCTCTTTAGCTGTATTTCCCTGGTGTATGGCTCCAGAAATAAGATAAATGAAGCCACCTCTGGCAATGGATAATGGCCATGGTAGTGTTGTGTGTAATTCCAGCACTGGGGTAGGCAGAGGCAGGAAGAAGGGAGGAGGATGGACTAGACTAGGCTACACAAACAGCAATAACCACCACCAGCACACACACACACACACACACACACACACACACACACACACACAACCCCCATCACTCTCTGGCGCCCCCTGCCTTGGTTTATCCAATCATCCTCATACCCAGCTTACATTTCTAGAACATCTACTTGCCTTTCCTGGGTGTACAGTTCTTTCCTGGGGATACATGGCCAAAGACTAGTCCTTTCTATTGTTGAACAGGGACTCTTTCAGAAAAGAATACTTGGAAAACTACCAAGACCCACTGGGAATCCAGAGAGTGTGCATCCATTCTGCCCTGTCCTGTAGTTATAGAAATAGCTCCAGAAGTGTTGAACAATCAAGGTTAAATGCCCACTTCACTGGCAGGGAGAGTTGACAAGTCTTCATACTTGTTAGCCCCTGGATTCTTCAGCTCAGGGATTCCTCCATTACCTGGCTGGAATCCAGCAGAGAATGCTAAAGGTGTTCCTGCCATCACACGTCATCTGCAGGTCCCCTCAACAGAAGAAACAGCAGCAGAATACTATGGGCTAGACTACCCACGGGCATATGGAGAGGCATGCTATAGAATATGTTGTTGTTTGGATGGAGAATGAAACCCGGAACATTTTTTTTTTATTTGCCAGATCATGCAAATCTGAATTTTCTGACTGTAGACATGATTTGGTTTGTGATTGTTGCTATTCCTGTTTCTCTTGGGTTTAGCTTGGACAAAGACTGTCCGACTGATGCAGCAGCTTGGGCATGGGGAAGAATCATTCATTTTACTGACAGCGCCTGTCTATGTGTGGAGGTGGCCTGGGTCAGAAGGAAGCAGGATAGAAAACAAACTGATACATAAGATGCGTATTGCGACTTTACCCAGAGCAGTGATAACTCAGAGTCTCTGGCAGTCCTTTGAAGTCCACTGACTGCCTTTATCTCTGCTGTCTTATTGGACTGTCCTTGGGCTTGGTAGATAGAATTAGCTACATTTTACAGGGTAAATAGTGAAGCCTCCAACATTTAGTAGCATTCTTAAGTCCTATCAAGGCAGGACTGGATCAGGAATTGGAGTCTTTGCTTTTGCCACCAGCAAGTCTGTCTGCTGCCCCTCTGAGGTCGAGATGCCTTCCTGGCCACCCTGCTGGGGTCTGCATTTGCCCACCCTGGGCTGGGCACTTGTCAGGAGCTATTTCTAAAGTCTAAGAAGATGAAGGTTATTTACAGACACCCTGCATGATGACAACTCTTAAAAGCTGAAAGTCATCATATTAGGTACCCAGGGTTATATCTACTGTCACTCATCCATTTAACTCAAGGGGCAAGCATTAGAGTGCAAGGCTTTTGGCCAATTCCTTACCACTACCTAGGAGATTCCCTAACTGGTTTTGAGGCAAATCTGCCTCTTTCTGGCTTAAGTTTGGGTCCCCTTCACCAAAGGGAAACTCAAACAACCACTGAATAGGGAGGTTATAGTGTTGAATGTAGGGGAGCTGGGAGGAGATGTTAGGGTCTAACCCTAAGATTTTATGATTTTTTTTTGCCAGTCCTGCAGCTTGAACTCGGCCTGGCAACTGTTCCCGAGCTTCTTTTTCTCAAGGCTGGCACTCTACCACTTGAGCTACAGCACCACCACTTTCGTCTTTTTCTGTTACTGTGGTACAGAGGAATCGAACCCAGGTTTTCGTGCATGCTAGGCAAGCACTCTACTACTAAGCCAGATTCCCAGCCCAGATTTTCTGATTTTGACCCAGTCTAGTCTCCACCTGAACTTGTGTGAGCACACACACACACACTCTCTCTCTCTCTCTTTCTCTGTCTTTAGTTTAGATATGCTGCCACCAGGTGGTGGTAACTACGTGTCTTTTTTTTTTTTTTTTTTTAATCAGACCTTCACCTTTGCTCCCAGTTCTCTTGAGATTTTTTTTTTTTAAATTCAGGCCCTACAAATTTAAACAATTAGCTTCTCTACATAGGAAAGCAATGCCTCTATTAAGGAGATGTTTATGCAAACAGTGAATAAAAATCAAGGCAAACCTCTCTTGGAAGTGTTTCCTTGGTTAGTTCTTTTGTCTCTGCCCTTACCTTTGTAAATAATGTGCAGGTCCTAGTGGTCATTTGATTTCGATTACTTGTTTCATTTGAAAGCTTTAGCTAGTAACCAGTCATTTGTCTGAGGCTCTGGTAAGGAGGTTGTGGGAGCTAGTGCAGGCAGGCCCTTTTCCAGGCTGTTTCCAAGGCAATTCACTGGTGGATTGTAGTTTGCTTACATATCTCACAGGCTTATCTTTCTTCCATAATAGAAGGGAGCCAGAGGAGTAGTATTCTGCTACAAGAAACTGCAAATGCTCAAGGGTCTCTCTAATGAGACCGGAGTGCTCTTCAGTTTCATGTTACCCTAGATAGAAGTTTTCCTTCCACCCCCTACCCCCAGCCCTCCCTCATAGTTCTGTAGCAGCTCAGGTTTGCATGTGGCAAAGAGCTGCCTTGCCCATAGCTAACTGGTTGGCTTCCTCTGCAGTCTCCTTAGTAACTAGGATCTTGTTACAGATTTTCTCCAGGAGTTCATGGCTTCTTTATTGGAATGTTCTGATTATAGCCCCCTCTAAGAGCAAAGTCCTCCTAGGCTGGGGAGCACAGTTAGGTACTATGAGTAACCCACAGCACAGCTCCCC